CCGTTTTCTTTTGTTTTTTTTAAATAATAAAAATCACTTAACACCTCGAAGGTTATAAATTCCTCTTAGAACCAAGAGTACAATTTAAGACCTCGAAGGTCCGAAGTCCAATCTGGACTCTTTGATCAACTTCAGTTGCCATAGACTGGACTTAGGACCTTGAAAGTCCTTGAAATTAGTACCCCATGAGCATGCTCAACTATCTCATGGGGTTTCTAAGTTTATCCTGAACCCTTAGGAGCCATGTAAAGTGGTTTAAAAAATGGATCGGTGATTCGGATAAGCCATCTCAAAAACCCATTTAGATCGGCGAATCGGTGATCTGGATCAGGAATCGACTGAATCAGTCGGATTAAACCTTAAACAAAATCTGAAAAAATTATTAAAATTCATTATAATGTTGTTTTTTAGGAATTCAATAATAAATGAGGGTACGCCATTAAGAATTTTCATTTCTTTGCATGAATATACGAATATTGATATGTTCTTTCCCTGCATGAACTACTATTTATCATTTAATTTACATCACACAAAACGATAAATATAAAATTATCATGGATTAAGTATATCATCATATATGAATTACAATAAAGCATATAATTCGTAATATACGATTTAAATAACAGACGACGTCATTCTTCATCTTGGTCACGCTGGTGCCATTGATTGAATTCGCGTGACAATTCATTGGTTCGATCTAAAAACAAATCATCCAAATTAGTGGGCACCTGATTATACCAAAATCCCTGAGTGTTAGTGTTTTGTTTTGGTCTTAATCCATAATCCCCAAAGCTTGTCCATCCTTCAAGTTCACCTACACTATCGTGCTCATCACTACCCTCTTGTTGTTGGGACTCGTATGTGAATAATTTGGCTGAGATTGGGTGACCTCAGAATCATCATCTCTCTCATTTTCCCTTAGACCCCCGTCCCACTTCCCCTCATTTGGTGCAATATCACCGACATCTCCGACGAATTGTGGATACGTTGGCGGGCTGCTTCATCTTTCATTAAGTTTTGACTATTGGGTTTGGCCTCAACAAATCTTAAAGATCTTCCACCCTTTCGCCGATATGGATGGGATACTTTTCCTTTTGGTTTTGACCGGTTTGGAACAACTCGGTATATTGACTATAATGGATTCGCAAATGCTTTCATATGGTTTGAATAGTTGGATTATAGGCTTGTTTGGACGATTTAAATACACGCAGATGGTCGCATCATATTCATGTTTGACTAGTGTTTTAAAAAATGTTGGGTTATAAAAAAAATCCCTGATCCAGTTCACCATATTTCGGTTCCCTTAATATCTGGGGGAAGTATCTTAAAAAATCACCGAGTCCACACGGAATAAGACGATTTGAATCGAGAATTGGTCATCCCGTGTCTCTTCTTCCAGGAATTGCCCGATTCAAGAGAGAACTGGAGGATTTTGCATAGTAAGTCCCCCGGTTCTTCGTGTCGACTCAGGACCCACCCATTCTTCTACTGTCAAGGGACATTTTTGTAAATTTTGGGGGGCATTTTTGTAAATTTCGGGGAATATGAGGCAAAATTCGTCAGAGAGAACCGGAGGATTCTGCATAGTGCGTCACCCGATTCTTCGCGTCGACTCAGGACCTGCCCATTCTTCTACAGTTAAGGGGCATTTTTGTAAATTTTGGGGAAATGCGAGGCAAAATTCGTCAGAGATCGAGAGTCCATTTGGTCTGCACACTTCACGAGGCAAAATTCGGTAGAGAGAATTGGAGGATTCTGCATAGTAAGTCACCTGATTCTTCGCGTCGACAGAGAACCAGAGGATTCTGCATAGTAAGTGTCGCTCGGTTCTTCGAGTCGACAGAGAACCGGAGGATTCTGCATAGTAAGTGGCCCGGTTCTTCGCGTCGACAGAGAATCAAATGATTCTGCATAGTAAGTGGCTCGGTTCTTCTCGTCGGCAGAGAACCGGAGGATTTTGCATAGTAAGTGGCCCGTTTGCATAGTAGTGTCGCCCGGTTCTTCGGGTCGACAGAGAACCAGAGGATTCTGCATAGTAAGTGGCTCGGTTCGCATAGTAAGTCGCCCGGTTCTTCTCGCATAGTAACTGCAGGATTGACTATGTGGTCCGATTTGCATAGTAAGTCGCTCAGTTCTTCGCGTCGACAGAGAATTGGAGGATTTTGCATAGTAAGTCGCCCAATTCTTCGTGTCGACAGAGAACGACAGAGAACCGGAGGATTCTGCATAGTAAGTCACCCGGTTCTTCGTGTCGACAGAGAACCGAAGGATTCTGCGTAGTAAATCGGCCGGTTCGCATAGTAAGTCACTCGGTTCTTCGTGTCGACAGAGAACCGGAAGATTCTGCATGTATATATTATATTAAGTTGCAAGTGCTATACTTTTTATTGCGTGCGCTCATTGTGTGGACGGACGCGGGTTTGAA